ATGTAAATGATGTAAGACTAGGATTTTATTGCCCTCCTTTTAATTCAATAAGACATCTTCACCTCCATGTAATATCTCCTGCATCAGAAATGGGATTTTTTAGTAGATTGGTATTTAAACCAAACACCTATTGGTTTCAATGCGTTGATGATACTTTGACACGGTTAAATAATAAATTATAAGCTTATTTCGTCATTTACATTACGTTTTTATTACATTTTTAAATTGTAATGTGAATATTCTAAAAAAATGATACTCAAATTTTTAAATAAGTAAATAAATGTTTTTTTAGATAATTGTAAATATTTAAAAAAAAGTAATATTGTTTGTTTAATCGCCTAGTTTCAATTTCAACCCCCCTTATCCGCCATTTTCAGTCAGATTTTTATTCAGAATCAAACTTGAATAAAACTTGATTTTTACTAAAAATTTCAAGTCGATATCTTTTTTCGTGTTTAAGTTAGGATTTTTTTAAATATTTCAACCCCCCTCAACTCCCCATTTCGATTCAGATTTTTTTTAGAATCAGTAGGCTTCATCTTTTTATAGAGCTTGGTTTTTACTAAACATTTCATGTTGATATCGCTTTTCGTTTTTATTGTTGATTTTTTTTAATTTCAATCTCCCTCAACCCCCCCTTCTTATTCAGATTTTTTTTACAGAATAGGCAGGCTTCATTGCCTTGTAGAGCTTCATTTTGGCTAAACATTTGATGTTGCTATCGCTTTTCATTTTTGATTTGACTTTTTTTTGGAACAACCCCTCTCAACCCCCCATTTCAATTCAGATTTTTTCAGAATCAATAGGCTTCATCTTCTTACAGAGCTCGATTTTAACTAAAAATTTCATAGTCGATATCGCTTTTCGTTTTTGATTTTTTTGATTTTTTTTTGAATTTTTTTTATTTCAACCCCTTTAACCCCCTACTTTTATTCAGATTTTTCTCAAAATTATTAGGCTTTGTCCCTTTATATGGCTTGATTTTTAATGATATTTTCAAATTGATATCGTTTTTCGTTTTTGACTTATCGTCCGGACAAAAAACGTGTCATCGGATGGGCGGACAGACAGACAAACGGACAGATGAAGCGAATGCATAATAGTCTTCACAGACTACTGTGTGAAGAGTATAATAATAGGACATGAGACATGAGTACGAATCTGCTAAAATTAAAAAAATTTACCTGTCCCAGATAGCACACGACGTCTGAAAGACGTCTTTTTTGTGTCTTGGTTTGGTCTCAATGTCCTAGGACGTTATTAAGACGTCTTATAAGACGTCTGTCAAAAGCCATAATTCAGACGTATTAATGTGAGAGCTCAAAGACGTTTTTAAGACGTCTTAAAGACGTCTTTCCAAATCCATATATTAATGTGGAAGCTCAAAGACGTCTTTAAGACGTCTTACAAACGTCTTTCAGTCGGACGGAAACTTGAACGGTTTAAAAGAAGAATCAAATGAAGTGAAGTTTGACGTTTGACTTAACACTACATTCAAGCCCAAGCTTATTGTGAATTATTGATTATTCTATTGCGTACGTGATTATAGCCGCCAAAAGTGTGTTTGGGCTACTTTGTGCATTTGTGTTTGGTCTCTTTTTACTTAAATAATATGGGACTAAAACCAGAGAAGGAAGAATAGTGGAGTTTCTGTTCGATGTATCACGTTCCTGGAATACTTTCTACAGGTAATAAATGAATATTTGTTTATATACATAAACATTAATATCCTGTTTCTTTTAAATAAGAATAATTAAATGAATTAAAAAGTAAACATCTTAATATAAGATTTAATTCAGTTATTCGTCAATTTCCTTTTTTTTTATTTTATGGAGATTTCGAGAACTATTAAAAGCCACATGTTAGATAGCCATTTTGAGTGAAGTTAAAGTAAAATTGTCAAAATAGGCGATTAAGTATAATAGCTCATATTTTCTTAAATGATTTGTTACAAAAATTGATTTAAAATTGTAAGAAATTAATTTTTTGTTTTGTTTCATAATAAAATTGTTCTTTCGGTTTTTACTAACTTTTACAAAGTATAACTTCCTGTGACTATAATGCTCTTACTTAAATTTCTTTTTAGGAGCGACTATACAAAGGCAACTTCAAATCAAAAAGAAAGAAAAAATCAATCCAGTTATGGCTAAAGAGGAGTGATCGAATGCGCTACAAAGAAAATAACTCTTAGTGACCTGTGATTAATAGATATTTTATCAATAAATATTTTTAATTCTATTTTTTGCATTCTTTATAACCTGCAAGGTTATTCTACTTATTTTAATAACCAAGATGCACGATGATACCCATTTTTAAATTATTTTATATTAATATAAACAAGTTATAGAATTGGCCGAAAAAAATAATGAACGTGTTATTTATGGCTTATTTAAGTTAAACCAGACCTTTATAAGCCATTAATAAGTCATCTTAAAGACGTCTTATTTATGGCTTATTTAAAGCTTCACAAGACCATTATAAGCCATTTATGAGACGTCTTATTTATGGCTTATTTAAAGCTTCCCAAGACCATTATACGCAATGAATAAGACTTCTTAAATACGTCTTATTTATGGCTTATTTAAATCTTCCCAAGACCATTATAAGCAACGAAGAAGACGTCTTATTTATGGCTTATTTAAAGCTTCATAAGACCATTATAAGCCATTAATAAGACGTCTTAAAGACGTCTTATTTAAGGCTTCATAAGACCATTATAAGCCATTAATAAGACGTCTTAAAGACGTCTTATTTAAGGCTTCACAAGACCATTACAAGCTATTAATAAGTCGTCTTAAAGACGTCTTATTTATGGTTTATTTTAAGCTCTACAGACCAATATAAGCCATTAATAAGACGTCTTAAAGACGTCGCTTTTTGTAACATCAGACGTCTTCTAAGACGTCTTAAAGACGTCTTTCAGGAAATACCAGACGTCTTAAAGACGTCTCGAATGTCTTATGCTAGACGTCTTAAAGACTTTGTGCTATCTGGGGTGAAAATGTAACTCCTGACAAGTAATCTCTACTATCACAATTCAAGACTAAAAACTTTTTAGTCATATTAAAATAATAAATATAATACCAAAAAACACTCACTATTACAATTTGTTGATACAAACTGATAAATAAACCAGAAAAACGACAAATTATCATGACAGCTGACGCAACTGACACATGAAATTAAATATGGTTTAGTACGCAAACTCCTTAATTTCAAGTTTGACCAACATAGCGATGCCCTATAATAAATGGGTGGCACAAAATTGATCGAAAAACACTTGATCGAATTGGAAATGTGATCGAAAATACATTTTATCGAATGGAATTTGATCGAATATACATTTGGTCGAAGATATATTTTATCGAAAAGACAATAGATCGAAAATTCATTAGATCGAAAGGACGATATATTAAATATCAACATTAAAAATAGTAAAATATCAAAAAATCAAACGATACCATTTAATCGTCCATCTAATCCCTACTACCAGGGAAACTAAACTAAGCGACTATCAAAATTAAGTACTAATGGCAAATTTTTCAATAATCTCAAATGATAGCTACCTCGTTTAACAAATTTTATCCTTACAATCCCGTTAATTTAAAAATAATTATTTCAGAGCTAAACGGTCTTCATTTTGATTAAAAAAATGTGATTAATTCGCACAAAATATGTATTTCAATAAGGTCGAGTTGTCTCCCGATGGGACATTTTAGGCAAATTATTTTAAGATTTTTTTATATAAAAAATTTAATTAAATTACCTAACCTGTGCGACCTGGAGCCGCCGCGGTTTGCCTCGCAAAAAATATAGAAAAATAAGAAAAATTCAAATAAAATTTTAACTAATTTACCTAACCTGTGCGGCCTGAAGCTCTCGAGGGTTGCTTCGCAAAAAAAATATACAAAAAAGGGAAAATATTAAAATTTACCTAAGCTGCGCTATTTAAATTTAACTGATTGCTCTCGCGTGTGTTAGGTAAGTTAGTTTGGTTTTTTTATTATTATAAAATTTTTTAATAATTTATTACCTGTGCGGCTTGGATCCTACGCGGTTATACTTGCAAAAAATATAGAAAAATAAGAAAACTGAAAACAAAAACTTTAACTAATTTAGTGTGGCATGGGGCCCTCGAGGGTAACTTCGCAAAAAAAATTATACAAAAAAGGGAAAAATAAAGAAAACCTAACCTGAACGGCCTGGAGCAATTTAACTGATTGCTCTGACACAGGTTAGGTAAGTTAGTTAAGTTTTTAAAAAACCTAACTAACTTACCCAAGCTCTGTCAGAACAATCAGTTAAATTGCCCCAGGCCGCACAGGTTAGGTATATTAGTTAGGTTTGCTTTATTTTTATTTATTTTTATAAAACTTAACTAACTTACCTAACCTGTATCAGAGCAATCAGTTAAATTGCTTCAGTCTGAAAACGTCGCGGTTTGTCTCGCAAAAAAAATTATAAAAATTCAAAAAACTAATTTACCTAACCTGTGCTATTCAAATTTAACTGATTGCTCTCGCACAAGTTGGGTTAGTTAGGTACGTTACTTAACTTTATTTTATTTTTCATTTTTTGTTTTTGCGAAGCAACCAGCGATGATTCTAGGCCACACAAGTTAGGTAAATTAGTTAAAATTTTTGTTTTAATTTTTCTTATTATTCTATAATTTTATGAATATTTGGTTTTTCGATCAATTGCTTTTTCTATCAAATCTATTTTCGATCAATTTTCTTTTCGATCATTATTCTTTTCGATAATTTTTCTTTTCGCACAATTGTTATTCAATAAAATGTTTTTTCGATCAAATGCATTCGATCAAATGTTTTTGATCAAATGTTTTCGATCAATTTTGTGCCACCCATAATAAATATATTTGAAATATAAAGCAGATGATCATCGCCTCTCCTAACACTCTAAATCTGTAGGTTTGCAATATTAATGTTGCTATATTATCAGTTTAGGTTTCCAAATTTTGAAAATCGCTATTGTCTTTTCAGCTCTATTTTTTCACCGTCGAATTCGGAATGGCGAAACAAGATGGCGACCTAAAGGTGTACGGGGCGGGTTTGCTCAGTTCAGTAGCGGAATTGAAGCACGCTATAGCTTCGAGTGATAAAGTTAAACGTTTCGACCCCGACCTCACATGCCAGCAGGAATGTATTATCACCGACTACCAATTGGGATACTGGTACACTGATTCGTTTGAAGAAGCTAAAGAAAAAATGAGGTAAGTGTAGGTAAAAAATCAATTTTTTCTTTAGCGTTTCATTATCATGGATAAACTACTTTTTAAGATAAAACATACAGTCCACCAGTACCGTATTTAGCCGATGAATTTACAGGGGGTAAATCCCAAACTTAAACTTTTTTTCTAATGGAGTAATGTCTACATAGGAAATTATATGGGAATTAATGCATAAGTATTTGTTCTTGTTACAGGACTTTCGCTGAACAAATAAAACGGCCGTTCGGCATCAGATACAATCCATATACTCAGAGTGTGGAGGTTTTGAGCAATGAAAAAAAAATTACGGCTTTGGTTTCTGAGCTGAGAGGCGATTTATGTATAGTGAACAGTGCCCTCAAGAAAATCAGCGCAAGAGATTCCACGCTGGATATGAACAGAATAGCGTCCCTTCTCCAGAAAGGACTGATCACGGAAAATAACGGTGGAACGACGAACAACGAAAATCAAAAAGATAATAACTAAAATTATTAAGATAATAGACGAATTGGTTATGATAAAAGGATTTATAAGTTCCAGTAATGTTCAATTGGTAACCTGTCAAAAAGTTATTTTTCGTGGCATAAACTACCCAGCTAGCACAAAAACATCCCATCTACGTTAATAAGCTGCAGTTTTAGGCTCTTTAAGCTTGCATGCAATGTATTTTTAATGTAACCCTTAAATGTTCGCAACGGCAAGACTTTTATAACACATTTCATAGAGGTTACAAAGTGAGGTGCGGAAAACATCACACTACTACATTTACAGTACTTTCCCTGAAAGTTGCTCTAAAACGTTTTGTAGGTTTATTAATGTGAATTAGTTCTACAGCATTAAATAGTGTGTCCACGGATGGACTTAACTATACTTCTAAAAATATTTAGGTATTTTAAATTAAAAAAAGTAATTCTTCATAATAACTTTTATTTTAATTTAAAATAAATATTTTTACAAGTGTAGTTATGTCCATCCGTACACACTATATTGTTCTTTATGTAATACAGAGAAGCTAAAATTGAGCTTATAGCAAAATCTCAATCGAGACATGGAATTTTCAAATAAATCAAAATATTAATGTAAATTTAATATTAAAATGTTTTTGAAATCAAACATCACAAAAGTAGAGGTAGGTATATCTCAAACGCAATTACACATGTGCGATAGTAAAAGCTACCTATAAAGCATTGAACGATTGGACAAAATTAGCTTAATAGTATAATAAGGTACCAATATTGCTAACTAGAAGCTTAAACGGTGAAAGATTCTACAAAAATATATTTATATAAGGTACGTTTCAAAGGTTCACTAGATTTTTAAAAAGATGGCAATTGTACGGTAAATAATAATGGACGTTTGCAACAGCAATGACTACATGGTGTAAGGATACCAATGACTAGGTATAGGTATATATTGTACTAGATAACTGAGTTCCCTGATTTCTTACCTGTAGATATATATAATATATATATATATATATATATATATATATATATCATCTGTTTTAGTTCAAGCCTTTTAACTTTTTTTGTTAGATATATTTTTATTTTGTTAATTTATTATCTATGCAATGTGATAAAACATTATTTTATTATAATCACATATGGCTTGGAAATATTTTTATTTATGCTATGATGTAACATAAATATATGACAATTTATTAGAAGAGGATAAATTATATTTTTATATAAAAAGATTTTACAACATATTGAATAAAAAAGAGATTGACCTATTTGTTTAACTATTATTAAAGGAAATGATACAGAAATTATAAAATATGTTAAAGTTTAAGTCGGTGCACTTATTTTTAGATAATTTTGTCTTACTTTATTGATTTAAATAAAACAACCAATGTTAGTGTATTGATTTGTTTTTAATTTTATAAATTTTATGCTTGACTATATAATTTTCAAGTTAGGTATGCAAATTTTATAAAAAACAACTCATGTTTTTTAGAAAGATATTCTGATGTATGCCGAGGGCATCTTCTGTAATTTCTCTCAACTTTTCTTCTTGGGTTTGCACTAATGTTCTTTTTTACAATATAGGCGTACCATGTACCTAGCTATAGATTCACTTTTTATAAAATTCCAGCTGGTATATATATGGTATGGTATGGTAATTATAATAATTTATAAAATAAATTCTCCAATTTAAAAAAACCACAAAAACCTGTCAATTGACATAAACATAAACATAAACGTTCCGAATTCAAATTGTGATATCCACAGTACTTCTCGTGGATACTTTTTTTAGCAAATTATTTTATTACATTGTGTTAACATAATAAGAAAGTTAAATAGGTAAGTAACAAATACAGGGTGCGGCAAAATGATAGGTACTATTTGGGATGTCAATAAAAACCAAACCACATAAAGCAACATTTTTTTATTATTATTTAAATCTACATTTCATGTCATTTAGGAACGTTATTTTTTAAAAATAATAACTTTTAAATGACGTCCATTATTGTCGATGCACTCTTGTAGGTTTTCACGGAAGCGCGTCATTACCCGATGGATTCTTTCTTGGGGAATTGCGGCAATTTCTTGTCTTATGGCTGCCTTTAATTCTTCCAAAGTCCGCAGACGATATGTAAAAACTCTCGATTTGAGGTAACCCCAAAGCAAAAAGTCGAAAGGCGAGAAATCAGGCGAACGCCGCGGTCAGCAGAGATCACCTCGTAAAGACACCACTTTGTTTGGGAACATTTCTTGAAGAAGATTAAGTGAACGACGCGTGGTGTGCGATGTAGCATCATTAATGTTCAACTCGTTAAGTTTTAATAAAATATAATTATAATATCACAAAAATGTTATTATCTTAAGTTTATCTAATGAAACTGGTTTAAAAAGTTAATCCAGTACTTGAAAAAAAAAATATATCTATGCATTATCTTTAAAACAATTATTATAATATCACAAAAATCACATTATTATGTACGTGTACTATCTTTGGTTAAAATAAATATCATACTAACAGCGAGTTGCAGGAACATTCATTAAAATTTAATAGCCTGATAAACGTTGAAAGATATTTGGACTGAATAATTTGAAGTTCACTTAACTAAGATATATCATAATTCATAATTTTTAATGTATCTTCTTGCAACCGGCTGATTGTATAGTAAATAATTTAATTACCTAAATAATAAAACTAACGTTTAATAAATTTTCTAAATCAACAAAATTTTAATAAAAACAAAAAAAACTTCTTTTTCTTTAATACCACACGTGAAAGAGAACCATCCACATAACCTGAAACAAAAAAAATGAAACGCAGTAACTTAATATCATTTTGATTTTCTTCTTTGATTTTTGATTCATTAATGCCCGTTTCAAATGGCACTGATCTTAAAAGTGACTGCAAAGTGGTTTTACTAGGTGAAGCAATGAAACGTTTTAAAAAATTATAAGCTCTGGGGCCCTTTTTATATAAAGCTAATGACATGACTATCAGATGTTGACCAAGAAGGCTTCGTCTTTTTTGAATTAGATGTAGTACTTTTTAAAAAGCTCATGCCTACAGGATCGAGCTTTGAATTAAATTCTTGAAAAATCTTTGACTCTGAAATTTTGACTGCATTTTTAACATTACGTTTTGAATTAATTAGGGCCTTCTTTAATTTGCAAATGTTACTTTTCTGTTTTCTATAATACAATAAAGTTTTTTATTTCTAGGAGATAAACTATTTACTCGAGTTTCATTAATTTGATTTAAAAATCCATTATTAAATCGTTGCTTTTTAGGCAGTGATTCTATTTCATTGGATGAAATACTATCATTGAAATTTTGATTATTAAAATTTAACTTTCTTTTTACAGGTAATTTATTTGGTGGTGTGACAACAATATTACTTAGTACTACTATCTTTGGTGTTAATTGACGTTTTAAGGGTGCCAATGGCAAAGCAAATCGAATGAGCCTTGTACGATTAGTGTTTGCAAATGATTTTTGATCAAAATGATCTTCACACAATCTTTTTTGCAAGTGGAATGTTTAATATGTTGCACCATTTTTTCTTTGCTCAAAATCTGAAGGAAATTTAAAAAAGTGTTTGTTCTTAAAATTTACATCATAAATGGGCCAGTAAAATTTACTATTACAATTTGATATTATGCATTTATTATGAATAGGGCCTGGTAAAGACATGTTAAAGCATCAAAATACTTTTGCTTAATTTTAAATATTCCTAAATTAACTTATGCCTAAAACTTAAAACTAAAATTAAATAAATAAACCTACTCACATGTTTTATTCGGCAACCATAACCATATTGTTTGTTTTTATTGCATCGGGATTGGGAGGCAACTTCAAAGCCAGATTTACATTGCACAAATAATTGAATAAATTCAAGTTTTTTAAATAATTGTATTAATATACAATTATATAATTTTAAACAATAATTTTCGAGTGTTATTTTTGTTTCTAAGCGAATTATTATTGAATTATTAAATTATTCAGTGTACTTTAAATTTAAATATCATTTTGTTACTGTAAAACGGACTGATATGCGCGGATGTGTTGCGCACTAACCTGTTGATATAACGCGCATATGTAATAAGCCCCCTGGTTATTACGTTCCCTCAAAGCAACATCGCCGAACGGCTGGCTGGGTAACATAAAAATGTATGATAGATTATGTTATTTAGACATGTATAAATAACATAACCTATCATAAACGTTCATGTTGATTTATGCCGCGAAAAACACCTTTCTACCTCGGTTTCGAAAGTTTGAAACCGGTGAAAATACAACAAAGGCGCTATTCACGACGCAAAAGTTTCATGCTTTGCAATTTCGTATCTATATCTTGCAATAATATTTAACAATATTCGTCTTTATTTCTCATTTCATACTGTGTAAGCTTGTAGGAATATATTGCAACTTTCAACAGTGCCTGCCATCCAGAATATGTAGACATTTGTTGGATGAACCTAAACTAATATCTTTATTTATTTTTACAATTTATCTTTACTATATAACATTTATATTGAAACTTAATTTCTATCGACAAAGTCGCGCTATTTGTATAAAAATGTATCGGCCTAGAAAGAACCAATCCTGCTAGAAGAATCTCCAAAGCTTCCTCCACGCTTCGAACTGCATACAGCGAAAATTCCAGTATCATTGGGGTCTATTCTGTAACAATTCCTTTATATTTAAAGGCCTTTAAAAATATTTCCTTCTTTACTTCTGTCATTATTTAAACGGATCTTTAAAATACATTAGAGGACTATCTTAAAGAAATCTGTTTAAATAATGACAGAAGTAAATTAACGAATACAAACATATTTTTAAAGGTCGCCAATATTTTTAAAGGCCGTTAAATATAAAGGAATTATTACAGAATAGACCCCATTGTCTCTAGTATTCATGGTGGACAGCAGCGATTGCCAATGCCAGACTTTATGTTTCCTAAACGACAAATCTCTACCCTTTAGAAACATGAAAGAAGAAATACTATCATCAAATAGGGTTTAACA